GCATTCTCAAGAGGATATACAGAGCCCCCCATCTTAACTCTCACTTTCTCCCTCCCTGCCCTTCTCTCCCTTTTATATGTCATGAAACAGTGTTGGATAAGCACTGAGTCAGTTATAGGGTCTAGCCGCATACCCCCCAAAATTTATTTTTTAGTTTTCAAGCAGAATTAGGTAAAACATCAATTTTGAACAATGATAGAAGCAGACAGGGAGGAAAAAAAACTCTTCAGCAAATCATTGTACGCTTAATGTTGCATCACGTCTGAACATCTAGACACGTCCCAGGCAGATTCCCATCCACTGTGAATGAGGAAACGGAGCTGTCAGGGCATCTCATCAAAGGTCCTTTTCTCTGCTACCTAAGTACTTAATTTTCTTTCTTTCTCTTTCTTTTCTTCTTTTTTTTTCCCCTTTGATGATAGGACACAAGAATGCTGACAGCAGGACACAAGTCCCCCAGGAAGAAAAAACCAACCTACCAGAAATATCAGGCACAGAAAGGGGCTAAGCACCTACAGGCTAAAATGGCAAGGCCTCTGACATGTGGGGGTCAGTTAAAAGATGGTCAGCTTACTAAGGACCCATGATCCCTTCCCTGGTGCATCTAATGAACACATGCTGGGGAGCGGGGTCTCCTTTGCCAGGATCCAAGACATAGATCTTTTTTCTCTGAGGGACAGTCCATAAGCTTAAAATGCCAGTTGGTCCAGTGCAATAGCTTTGTGATGGTGCCTTGGACAGAACAATACCAAAACTTTGCATTAATATTATTTACCAGGTTTTTCGGTTTTGTTTGTTTGTTTTTTTTTTTTTTTTTTGGAGAGATTTTTTCACTATAGGGCGTGTGTGCTCGCCAGACAGCAGAGAGAGACAGAGAGACAGAAAGCGAGAAATCACCCCCCAGGGGGGATGGTCACGCTGCAATCCCTTCCCCTCCATTCTCCTCTCGGGATCTTGGGCACGCACGCACACGCGCCCGGCGTGAGTTTTAAGCCACCGGGTCTGGGACGCGAACCGTGGTCAACTACGTGGGAGTCCAGCAACATAGCCATTAGGCTAACTGCTGGTCCCCTACCAGGTTTTTTTGAAAGGAGATTCGAAGTTAGAGGCCATCAGTCTATTTCCTTAGTTTTATCCATGAAGAAATTAGATAAAATCTGCCCCACACATTATTCTTGACCACATCCTAAGAAAAGAATACCAGTGTGAGATGGTTCTACATGTATGCGTAAAGCATGATCCACTGGGGCAACACTTAATAACAAAAATTCTCCCGGTTGCCTTTCTTCCCCTATCTTTATCTCCTTAAACTCAAAGAGAGCCTGCTCTGGGTTACTGAGTCTCCTTTTTACTCAGTTTGTTCTCTCGCAGGGTTCCTCCAGGTTCCTCCAGGTTCCTCCCTTGGTGCCATCTCCTTCCTAACCCTTCTGCATTGTGGACTCAAGCTCGTCAGTGCTCTGACACCCCTCCTCTAACGCCTCATATCCCCCCAACCATCTGCCTTCTTATCCTCTTCCAAGACAATCCCCGATAGTAAGCAAAATGTTCTTCGAATTTTCTATTTAAAGTACACCAGGTGTTTTGTGGTTGTAGATACACAGGTATAAGTCTGTAAAAATTCTGTACTTTTACTTATCTGCGGTTATGACGATTGAAATAATAAAATATATCATTATACTTGGTCCTTATAGCGATATGAACTCAACAATAGTTTATGTGCCGTAACAGCCAAAAAGCAGAAAAACATTTGGATCTTCAACAGATGATCATCAACCATTTGGACTAAATTATCTCTAACCCATGGTGCCACCTGACCAAGGACTAAAATAGTGTCAGTCCTGTAGTTCAGAGGCTAAGCACTGTGCATTGGGAACTGATCCCCACGGCCAACCGCAGTTCTAATCCTGCCCCGGAGGCTGAAATACACCAGGTGCGTGTGCAGGTGTGGTCAGTTTCCTGACAGGATGGAGAAAGGCAGATGGGTTCATGGCATGATCACACTTCATTGGGAGGTGCTTTCTCTCGCTCACAAAAGCCTGTGTGCTCTCTGGCAAGAAAAAAAAAAAGGAAGGGCTAAAAATAAGTCAAGGATGAACCTATATCCCTAGCTCCCGATCAGGAGATCTCCACTGGGCAGAACCGCCCTCAGTCAAGAAGAGTGATAACAAATGACATCCTAATCAGAGTTTGAAACCTTCTGTGAATTTGGTTTAGGTGAGATGTAGGAGCCATGGCTAAGGCGACAGTTGACTTATCTCAAGCCATGCCCTTTAGAAACATGGTCAGAGATAGAATTTAAAAACTCAGAGAAGACTAGAAACTGCTTTGCTCCCTAAGAATTCAAGACTAAGACTCAGTCCCTGCCTTCACCTACGGGAAGCAAAAAGGAAACATGATTTCTGAAGCGTTCGCACCATGGAAGCCTCTGCAGAGTAGGTGACTATTGGAATGTCACACAGAGACCCGTTTAGGGACAGTACCTTCTCATCTATATTGGTGGGTATGTGGGAATTCCTTCATGCTCCACACGGGTACTTGGCTTTGGATGTAGGAAACTCCGATCCAGAGGAAGGAACCACGAGCTGCCTTCCCCTGGTAGAACGTCACACACCACTCCTGCTCCTGGGTGGCTTCCTGTTCTGCTATGTTTCTTAGATCAAGAAGGGAGTCTTGGGAACCAGCAGTTAGCGTAATGGCTATGTCGCTGGACTCCCACGTAGTCAACTGCGGTTCGCGTCCTGGACCCGGTGGCTTAAAACTCACACCGGGCGCGTGTGCGTGCGTGCCCAAGATCCCAAGAGGAGAATGGAGGAGAAGGGATTGCAGTGTGACCATCCCCCCTGGGGGGTGATTTCTCACTTTCTGTCTCTCTGTCTCTCTCTGTCTGGCGAGCGCATGCGCCCTATAGTGAAAAAAACCTCTCCAAAAAAAATAAAAAGAGAATCTCAAAACCTTGGCACCTGGGGCTGAAAAGTGCAATTGTTATCACAGATTTGAAGAGCTTGGGTGTGGGGTTGGTAACCAATACAAAGGAAGCTTTAGGAGCCTTCACAGTGACTGCAGGGGGAACAAATTTAAAAAGTTTTTGTCGACTAAATCTTGAACATGAAGGGATTAGTTTTATTATTTAGTTGAAAAATAATTCATTAAAGGTTCAAAGTACATGCTATAAAAAAGAAGAGGTATAGTGCTTGCACTTATAGATATAAATAAAGTAGAGGAGACTTACCTGGGGAGGAGAGAATTCACATCAAAAAAGGAAATAAGTTGGGGCAGCTTTGTAATGCAGTGGCTAAGCACAATGCACTGGGAGCCAGATCCCACATGGCCAATTATGGTTCAAATCTCAACTCCACCACCTTAAAAAATCCACCAGGCATGTGTGCATGCATGCCCGAAATTAGAATGGGGTGGAGATATGGAGGAAAAAGGATTATAGCCTCCAATGGGAAGTGGCATCTCTCTCTCTCTCTGTCTCTCTCTGTCTCTCTCTCTCTCTCTGGTAAGAGTACACATTCTCTGGCAATTAATAACAATGGAAAATAGTTGGAAGCATAAGTGAAACTAATGGAAAACCTATAAATCTGGAGAAATAGTAGGCTTCACTGGGAGCCAAACATGACACACAATTGTTGTTCCAGCTACTAGGAGCTGAATCAAGAAGATTGAGACAGAGCAGGACTGTCTCTAAAAATAAATAAGTAAAATAACACCACGGATACAAAAACATATCTATGATTACACATACACATGGACAAAAAAACTAGAAATAGGAAGCTTTGCCATAGTAACCAGGATAGTCTAGATTGGTGAGTGGAAAAAGGAAAAGTCCTGACCTGGAAAGTGGTGACAAATATGAACACAGAGGTGTTCTCAGGGAATGTGTGGTCAGACAGTCATCCTAGAGTTCAGTGTCATGGAAAGGTTACAGGTGGGACTTCCAGTCACAAGTCACTGTAGCTTGGAAAAGGGGAGTTCAGCAAAATGAAATTAGAAGTCATTTAATGTTTGCTGTTATGGATAAAATTGACAGAGGTGGCAGGGTTTGAAGCGTCAGACATGGGATTGCCGTGGTAACTCAGGACCAGAACTATTAGGACCCTAACTTTTGAAATGGAAGAGAAGACACCGAGTTTGAGAAACATTTCCTAAGTAAAAGTTACAGTAAACATATACAAAGATTTATAATTGGGACTAACAGTGTAATGGCTACATTGCTGAACTCCCATGTAGTCGACTGTGGTTCGAGTACCAGACCCAGTGGCTTAAACTCATGCCGGGCCTGTGTGCGTGCATGCCCAAGATCCTGAGAGGAGAAGGGATTGTGGCGTGGCCACCTCCCCGGGGGGTGATTTCTCACTTTCTGTCTCTCTGTCTCTCTCTGTCTGTCTGGCAAGTGCTCGTGTCCTATAGCAAAAACTTCTCAAAAAAAAATATTTATAATCATTAAATATGGAGATAATCGCTTTTGGCTAAATGGAAATCATTTTAGAAATCTATTACTGTACTTTCAGTAGAATGAAGCCTTCATAATGAGCTTACTAAAAACTAATCAATGTGGCAGTACTTTTCCACCCAGGCAGATAAATTGATTGGTGAGAGGTCATAGAGTGACCCCAATTAGGTAAACATTGACTCCTCTGTTTCCTCTCTAATTTGATGTGGTCTCTTCATCTCCATTTGTGTTCTCGAAGTTTGTGATGGATTTTGTATGACCTGCAAACACACTCACCAAAAGCATTGGCAACCAGTGCCTCCTGTTGGCTATGCAAAGCTACCTAAAGGCAAACAGCAGCACTGGCTCACCAGCCAACTGTAAGGACAGTTTCTTACCCTTGTAGTAGTGGTGGCTGTTTTGAGGAACTCCTTAAAGTACCCTTTCTCACATTGGGACAAATATGCTCCGATTTCTGCTGCCCCAAGTCAGATTGACTCTGCCCATACAATACCCCTTAGAAAACCCCAAAGCCTGAGCCCTCTGTCTGTTCTTATTTGTACAGGTGACATGATTCAGCTACAGAAGAAAAGAAAGTGATCGCACATCTTTTGCCAAGAACCAAGGGGGAAGACATGAGAGCTTTTTTTTCTCATCTTTTGAATCTTAATTTTCTGGTGAGGGGATTTGAGCAACCTATGGAGATAGAACAGGAAGTGGTATTTACATTTAATAAGAGGGCTAGAGAGGTAGCTTCAGTTAAGGACTCTTTGTGCCATGAAAGGGTGAGTGGGTATGTCAAAACAACTGCTGCTGCTTCAGAACTTGTAACCTTCATCTGACCTCTGTGGAGCATGATCTCTAGCCAAGATCTGTTCAACAGTCAAAGAAACTCATGAAAATGTGGGGTTAGTGAATACGGACATAGAAAGTGGGCAGTTTAGGATCATTCAAATTCTTGATTTCATAGAGAAACATGTTGAGGACCTAGATGACAAGTAACTGGCATGCAGCCAAAGGGCTAGTCAGAGCCAAAGCCAAGACAATGGCTCTGTCTTTCAGATCGCCTAATTCCCAGGTCTGGGCCATTTTTGAACAATCCTAGACTTTCTTAAACAGTATTTTAGTATAAGCTAGTTATTTTTATGTGTTGCTCATTTACATTTTTTCCATTGATTTACATTGTAGGAAGTTGTCAGTCTACCTGGTGTGATAGCAAACAGGGACAATGAGGAAATAAGTTATATAAGATATTAGGAGAGCTGTTCATTTTGGGAGCAAGCATTTAAGGCAAGTATAAATGTTGAGCATAGTGCCATTATCAAACTCACTTCCACTTGAACATTTTTTTATCAAATAAATGCACTTTTACTTGGGGAAGACATTGAATGGGAAATGATCTGAATACCAGAACTGCTAGGGATTGATTTTGTACAAAGAACTTGGCTGGGTGAGTATATGGTTTACCAAAGCTGATTGTCAGGTGATTAACAAGGATTCATGAGTGGCCCTTTACTTGTAGGCACTCTTTCTAGTCTGTTAGTGTGTCTGTACTAGACTCCTATGGGTTGGGGTGTGGACCCTAGAGTAAATTGCACTTGGACTGCTCAAACGAACATTGTCCAGAAGTTGAGTAGAAATGGACATCAAGAGGAGTCGTGAAGCATTAGAAAGAGGGCAGACCACTCCAATAGGGCAGGCAGGCTAAGCAAAGACTAAGACAAGCACCCAGAAACCTGCTTTCTCCCTACCCATTCTCTGCTATTCTGTTACCTTGAGCCTCTAGTCATTTCTGCTTTGAGTGGGGAACACCACTTCTTTCCCCGCACATGCTGCTGCCTTTTAACTACTCTGGCACCTGGTCTCCCCAGGAGCCCAGAACCAGTTGTCAATGTGGAAATTCCCTACATATGAAGTCCGTAGGGGATTGCCCAGATTTTCCACGCCCCTAGGGTGACTGGGGTTGCATACTTCTCAGAGTCATGGTAAGCTCTTGGTTGGAGGGAGCTTATAGATTTCTCTTTGTGGCTTTACTGTCCCTGGGACAAAATTAACCTTAATTGAAGCATGGCAGGTCATTGTACAGTGTCTATTCCAGCACCAGAAATACCTCAGGATCTTTTTTCTCATTTTTTAGTGAGATTTTTGCTATAAGGCACATGCACTCGCCAGAAAGAGAGAGAGACAGAGAGACAGAAAGCAAGAAATCACCCCCTGCGGGGTGGCCATGCAGCAATCCCCTCTCTTCCATTTTCCTCTTGGGATCTTAGGCATGCAACATGTGCCTGGCTTGAGTTTAAGCCACCAGGTCCAAGACTTGAACTGCAGTCAACCATGTGGGAGTCCAGTGACTTAACCATCATGCCATCTGCTGGCCCCAGGACCTTTTGAACACCTGCTTTAACACAAAAATGCTTCCAAGTGCTACTAAACCTTAAGGGTAAATAACCCGGGCCAGCCCTATAGTCTAGTAGTTAAGGGAGCTGTATCCCAAGTGGCCAACCATGGTTCAAATCACAGCCCTGGTGACTTGAAAAACACACCAGGTACATGTGAGCCCCAAATCCCAACAAGACATAGAAATGGAGAAAAAAAGATTACTGTATGACCACACTCCACTAGGAGGGAGGCACTTTCTCCCCTCCATTCCTCTCTGTTTCTATCTGCCTCTGGAAAGCACATATACCCTCTGGTAATTAATACCTATCTAGCTATCTAGCTATCCATCTATCTATATCTATCTATCTATCTATCTATCTATCATCTATCTATCTATATACCTTTGGTTCCATGTATATAGATAGATAGATAACACCTATAATGAAAACCGATTCAACATTCATTAAAAAGCATATAGTTTTGCTATCTATGTAGGGCTGTGTTCAGCCTTTAGTACTTAGAAAATGACAACAATAGAAACCAAATGATAATACTGGCAATAATATTTGTACAGTGTCACATAAGTTAGAATCATTTTCACTCGACTGAGCCTCACAGAAACATTACAGGTAAAAATGTATGTCCTCATTTTATAAACAAGCAAATTGAGTTCTGATAGTGGTACATGTTTAAAACTAAATCCCTGGGAAAAACGTAAAGCCCTAATTGATGATGTTTGCCCATTTCCTTGGTGTAAACACTCCCTCTGTGGCCTCTGTCATGCTACCAACATGTCTCAGAAAGCAGAGTTGGAAAATTTCGACAACCACTTGGTTCTCATCTATATCTATACAACTAGATTCTAGCATACCTTTGGGTTCAGAGCAGGGAGATGACAGAGCTAAGGTCACAGGGATAATTGATTCCCAAGATCGCATTTCTTCCTCTTTATCATAGAGCAAAGCAGTAACGGTAATTGAAAACCTTTATTTAAAAAACAAGGATAAACAAAACTGGGTGAAAACTACCCCACCTACAAGTATACCAAGGGGCAGGACAACTCCGCCAACCTCTGATAGACCCGCCCCTGCTCATGCTTCTGCTCTGGTGTTGCTGTCTCACACGTGAAACCAGAATGAATTTGCACAGAAGATTTATCTTGTTGCCTAAACAATACATTAATCCCATCCTCCCCCCAAAGGGCCCTACATTTCTCTAACTATTTTCAGTTTCTCTACACCTACTCTCTGTAATACTTGTCATAACAGGAAGCCACTTGCATGTACCAGGATACCCAAACACTTTGCACCCACATTGGGGATTCAGAGGAGGCTTGGGAAGGGGTGGCAAGGTTAGGCCTTCCAGAAAGCCTCTGGGCTGAGCCCTGAGCCTACCCCAAGGTTGGGCATCCCCCCTCCCAGGCCCAGGATTCAGAAACCAGAAACCACATCTAGACAGTCTTGTTTTTCCTTTCTCCTGCAATTGGATGTGCCCTTTTTTTTTTTTTTTTTTTTTTTTTTTTTTTAATAAAGTATTTGAGTAGGCAGCAAAGACAGAGCTGTTTATTTATAGCTGTGGATTTTCAATGCTGTATAAATTAGAAATCTGTGCTGAATGAGACCTGCGCCCACTCACACACGCAGGGCTGCTATCTGTGAGTCCTTTCACACAGTTTGACTGTACACAGTCTAAAATGGGAGAAAATGACATGCTCCGAGTCAAATGACGGAGTCACAGCTAAACGGCAAAGCAGAAAACCAGCAATTATTTTTCCTCAGCACAATATGGGGAGTACGACAGGTGCAATTATCCAATATTATTTAACAGCACCGGTTTGTGGTGTAGGGAGAAAATAAAGGTTTCCGTGTCTTGGAGCAGAAAAAAAAAAAAAAAAAAAAAAAAAAAAAACCTTCCGCCTTCATCCTGTTTCTGTGGATTATGCTGTGTTATGTAAATTTGAGACTGGCTAGGATCCCAAAACAGGCAGGGTGAACCACCTGGCTCCCTGCCCTTCCTCCTGGAGACGCCAAGCGACCGCACATCAGGGACTGCTGAGAAAAAGTCCTTCGCCCTGGGGATGAGGCTGTGGCTCCAGGTAAGGCTGGGGAAAATGAGTTTGCTGAGCTGTCCCCAGAGAGGGAAAATCCCTCCTGCTTTTGTCACTCCTGCCCTCAGCTGAACTAAGATCAGGTCAAAGAGAAGGTGGCCCCACAAGGAATAATTTTCATTTCCTTATCAGGTCTTCCTCTTTGGGGCCCAAGGCACATTTCTTTTCTTTTTGAAGAGATTTTACTATAGACTGTGTATGCTGGAGAGACAGAGAGAAAGTGAGAAATCACCCCCCCCTCCCCGGGGGTATGGTCACATCACAATCTCTCCCCTCCATTCTCCTCTTGGGATTTTCAGCACACATGCGTATGCACCCAGTGTGAGCTTTAAGTCTCTGGGTCCAGGACTTGAACTGTGGTGGACTACATGGGAATCCAGTGACATAATCATTACGCCATCTGCTGGTCCCACATTTTTCTTTTAATGATGGCACATATATGAGCACAAAAGATAGAGAAGCACCCTCCACAGAGTCTTGTCATGCAGCAGTCTCCTTTCCCCGGCCCTCTGGATTCTCAAGATCCTAGGTACCCATCAGGCAGGTTTTCAAGCTGAGCCAAGATTCGAACCCTGGTCTACCATGTGGTTTCCACCACTGCAGATCACTTGCATTACTACTATGCTACAACAGCTGGGCCTCCAGCATATTTTATTCTTACTCCCAAGCTTTCGCTTAAACTGGTCACGCAACCTGAAAAGGTTTGTCTGCTCCCTACTACTATGGAATAAATCATTCTTTACAGCTTTAGACCTGTCTGGAATGCCACTTACCAGTTCTCTTAAAAAGCTTTGCTTACCCTCTAGGGTGTTTGGCCGGCAGTCTTTCCTGAACTTCTATAGTAATCCACATCAGTTCCATGCAGTGTTCTAATCACTGTCTTCTTAATATTCTCCTTGGCTTCTACTTCTGCGAAGGTATGGAGTGCTCAAATAAACAGATGCTTTAGAAGCAGTCTAGATCTGAATTCAAATTCTGACTCTACAGCTCTCTTATCTGTATTGACGTGGGGGAAATAATTTACTTACCTGCGCATTGGTTCCTTATCTATAAAATTAAGTGGATGGTAGCATCTGCCATGTTAAATAAGATAATTTAAAAGTGGTGGATGTGAGTGCCTGGCCTCCCATCCCCCATCTAACCCTTCTTGACTGCAAATGCCTGAGGCCCAAGGCTGTATCCACTTATCCATACACCCCCACAAGCCTAACTGCACTTTTAGGGAATACTTTAGTGCAACCTGATTTGAGATTTCTTACAACTTCTTAATCTCACAAGCTTCACCAAATACCCTCTACGGTAGGCTTCTCCAGAGGCTTCAATTCCCAACACTGGAGTTATTATTTCATTTTAGATACTCTCTCCAGCATAAATAACAGAGTTGTATAAACACTGATGAGCAAATTACAGTTTCACGTGACCTACAGCAGAAAGAACCCTGATCGACTGGGACACAGGACAAATAAGTTTAGGTGAAAAGGAGAAGATGAGGAATGATCTGAAGGATAAAAACTGCATTCAGGGAGAGCACCAGGGTGGACAGAGAGCCCTCAGTGGAGAGCTGAAGGTGTACAGCTGAAGTTACTCTCTGTAAGGCTGACCCACATGGCAAGGTTCTCGGATGGTGTCCGAAGACCTCCCTGAGTATGCAGGACATGCATGTGCCCATGACCCAGGGCTGGCTGAGGCTAGGAGTGAATCATAGCATCAAGGCCCTACTGGGGGTGACTCTCTTTCACACATAGAAAAAATAAATAAATAAACTTAAAAATATAGAGAAATAGCCCTGATTACACAAAGGAAATCCTATGGAGTAGTAGGATCCAGGTCTGGGCACTTGATCCTTCAGTGGGAAGAGGAGGCACTGAAGAAAAATCTTGTTTATATCAGAATTTACC